TAAAGTGTCTTCATGGTATCAATATCTTTTAAGTCCCTACAAGTCCTCTTAACCAACCCTAAAACCCTATTAGCCTTAGCAGTTATTTTATCTACGTGTTGGTTCCATGAAAGATTACTAGCAGTAAATAATCCTAAATCTTTATACACATTAAAACTTTCCAAAGGTTGACCTTCAATATTATACTCCCCAACTAAGGGTGACTTTTTCCTGGTTATTCGCATGATCTTACATTTCGTGGTATTAATTCTCATCTTATTCATCTTACACCAATCTGAAATTTTATCTATGTCACTTTGAAAAGTAGACAGATCTTCTTGAGTACTAATAAGCCTATACATTTTACTGTCATCAGCATACAGAGCAATTGAACTGTTCTTACTAATTACCCCTGGTAAATCTGTGATGTAGACTATGAAGAATAATGGTCCCAACAAAGAACCTTGTGGGACACCAGAGGTTACGGTTAACCAGTCGGAAGCCTCTCCTTTCACTACAACACGCTGTTGGCGTTCTGTTAAATAATCTCTACACCAATTTAGCAAGTCTCCATGGACACCATATTTGTAAAGTTTGGTTAATAGAATATTATGACAGACAAGGTCAAAAGCCTTGGAAAAGTCTATAAATACTACATCAACTTGACCTCTCTTGTCCAAGACTTTGAACCAATCATGATGTACTAAGAGTAGCTGAGTAGTGCAGGAACGACCAGTGAGGAACCCGTGATGAGAATCATGTATGAATCAAATGACTTGATCATAAATAGCATTGTTCACAATTCTCTCCTGGCATTTTCCAGAGATAGTTAAGAGTGAAATGCCTCTATAATTTTCAACTGGCTCTCGATAACCATCCTTATGAATGGGTGTAATATTAGTTGATTTCCATAATTAAGGTAGGCGTCCCTGTTTGAACGATAAATTGAAGAGAATACTCAGAGGAACTGCAGATGTGTCAGCAGTCTCTTTAAGTAAACGAGCAGGTATTTTATCAACTGCACAAGACTTATAGCATTAAGACAGCTAAGTAGCTTTTGAACTTCCTTAGTGTCACATGCCACATGGTTGGTAACTACCTCAAAACTTGGATCTTTTAAGTCAGTTTGTATTGGAGCTGGTACCCCAGTACTCTGTTTACAAAAACTGAATGAAAGTGAATATTAAATAAGGTAGCTTGCTCAGGAGGTTTTAATACTATTTTTTTAGTCGGCATAAACAATAAACAATAAACAATAAACCCATTCAGACCCACCCCAAACACAACCAAGCATTGACCTCAAAAAAATTAAAATTTTGTTTGTCATGATTCTGTTTCCGATGCTAACTTTTTAAAGAATTATGGAATCAGAAGCTCATAGAGCAGACTGTCTTTTGTCTTCTCAGCTTTCTCGTTTCGTTTTAGCCAACTGTAGGCGAACCCCGCTATCTTGTAGATCTGGAAGTTCAGAATAACAAGCACCAGCTGTTAAAGTAGAACTGCTTGTAAATAGAGACCTAGCTTTCATCGTGCGCAGCAATGCTGAATAGGCGGCCTTGAACTTTTTGTTTCGAAAAGCGAAAAGAAATGGGTTGAGGGCAGAATTAAGGTATCCAAACATCAAAACTAGAACACGAACTTCATTTGGGATTTTAGCTCGGCATGATTGACAGAGATTGGCAGTGATGCTGACGAAAGAGTGAGGAACCCAGCAAAAGAAAAACACGGCTACAAAGATGGAGATAGTCTTGACCGCTCGAATGTTCCTTAAATAGATTTTCTTTTCTTCAGTAGAACGTGTTTGTCGTGAACAGGCTTCCGTCGTACGCATTTGTCGTGAGATCTCTTTACCAAAAATGCTGCTTTGAGACCTTGCTATGAGGTAAATCTTAACGTAGATACCGCACGTTACCAGTAGTGGAATAATGAAATTTAGACAAGAGCTGAGAGTGGAATAAATGTAAGTGAGAGCAAAGTAACAGATTCCCTCATAAACAAACTCGTCAAATGCTCTCCAGCCCATGACGGGAATTAAAGCAAAAACCAAGCTGTAAAGCCAGATGACAGAAATAACAATTAAAGCTCTCTTTCGTGTCATAAATCGGAAGCGGCGAAATCGATTCAAGGGATCCTTAAGGCTCTTGTAACGATCCACGCTCACGGCCAAAAGGGTCAAAATGGACGTGGGTACAGTGATAAGGTAAACGGTAATCCACGCCTGGCACATTATTTCTCCATGCTTCCAAGCCCGGTTAAGGAAAAGGCCCTCTATGTCAAATGGTACTGCTAATGTTGCAGTAAAAAGATCAGAGAACGCCAACGATAAAATGAACAAATTTGTTGGGCTGCTTCGGAAACTTTTGTTAGCGATTATTGCGTAACAAACTATTAGGTTTCCAAGGACTGCTACAACGACAATTAAGATGAGACACGTCGCTACCGGATACACGAAGGAGGGAGGTAAGCCGGGCACTGTGTCGGTCCCTGTGGTGGCTGGGTTGGGTTCAGAGCTGTTGTTCATGGTTAGATGACCTTTTCCACGTCGCAAGTGATGATGGCAAGAGTTCTTCTTATGACGGGTACTTGGAGTGTAAGTGGATCATAAATAACTTAAAGCGGTGTGCTGTGAATTATTTGACAAACATGACGCCAGTACTTTGGATCCTCGGTTAATTAGTTTAATCTGCAGTACTTGAGATGCTGTCAGCGTTTCCTCAATTAAGCTGAAAGCGAGAAAATAGAACAATATCGATAAGAGGCGGTATCCGTAAAGAAACGGTGTTTTCCTATACTCTTTCGGTATAGCCACTGGGCACGATTTGAACTAGGGAAAAGCTCACCGACATAAGCTATTGAGGATTAGTAAAATCCAACTAGTGGTCTATTATCAATGCTGCGTTCTGATTGGTTGAGCTACTACTAGGCTATATGTTATAGCCTACTAGTAGCGAAGAGCGCCAGACTTTTGGCAGCAAAAAGGGATTTGCGTCTAGTTTTAACCACCCAAAAGTTGTTTTGTCTCGATATTTTTGACCAACTAGTTGGATTTTACTAAAACAATTTATTCCTCTTGCCCTCATGGCCTCTGAGTCAATAGCCCATTCGGCCTTCGGCCTCACGGGCTATTGACTCAGAGCCCATTCGGGCTCGAGGAATAATTGTTAAATACAATTCTCGTATTGTCTAGCTGTTAGTCTCACACGCCTTTTTCAGATAATAAAAGTGTTGGTAGAAATTTGAAATAAAAGGCCTAGGGATGAATCCAAGGGTGTGATAACAAATTAGATAAAAATATTTTTTATTAACTCGGCTCGAAAAGAACTTGTGAAGTAAGTTACGCGCCACTCGGATCTACCAACAGCTATCGAGCTGCCATTATATATTTTGATTCATTCTTTTCTAACGGCAAAAGTTTCAAATTCTTGGAAAACAAATAAGGCCGAATTTTTTTGCGTTCGACAGGTTTACCTTACAAATTCTTGCCTACGAATCTGGGAGTGTGTAAACCAACCTTTTATACGGTTTATACATCACATCTGAGATGAAACAGTACTATTTATCATACAGACCTCGGACAGAATGCAGTCTTTCACAATTTTTCAAGACAAATTGCACTCAGTCAATATTCAGGACGATCAATTGTGGGCTTTTAGCGAAACCGTTCAAAAAATTTCCAAAATCACCCACACGGCCAGCCGGTTCTCATTTCTAGTGCGAGCTGTCAGTGAATGAACTTTAATAGAGTTACGCTTCAACATAATAACGAATTTATTATTATAATCCTGTTCTATGATTATTTTTTGTTATTTAATGGTTTCAGTTATAACGATTTGTAATCTTATAAAGCGTTTGATACGCGCGACATTTTTGAGTACTCCTGCAAGCAATGTTCAGTGAACGATGAAAACAAACGGCACGGACAAGCGATTAAAATTGCAAGAGAGACTACTAACAATCAATAAAAGAAATATAATTCGGTGAAACATTTACAGAGACAACAATTTTCATTCACGGAGACAAGTAGTTAAGTGTCTCTAAAATTAAGCGTAAAGTTTAAGTTTATGATTTTAAGCCGGCTTCCTGGTGTTAACAGTTTTCAAAGATGAACTCTTCGAAGCAAGAAAATCGCTAGACAAAGTTTTCTTTCTACAGCCAAATTTATAACTAAATATTCTTCGGAACGTTTTCTTTCTATTTGCTGTGAGAAAATATATCTGAAGGCTTTTTAAAGTTCTGTAAGCTTATATCAAACTTGATACTAGGTCAGATCATTGACTCAAATCTCACAAACGTGCATAAACTTGCTGCATAAACTGGGTAGTCACTTGAAGGGATAGACGAGAGGGCCCTTCTTCGATCCTGAGACTGGGACCGAGTTATACGATCGCCGAGTAAATCTTCGTTTCTGCATCGATCACCGCATCGCAATGGCCAAAAAATAGCACGTAAAGGAGTCCGAATGAATTTAAATAGATGCGATGTGATTTATTTTGTTTCTTGTTTATTTCATCTAAAATATACTTAACATTGACATATTCGTACTTCGAAAAATATTACTGGCTCCCGCCACTGATATTAAACGGAAAAACTACTTGCAGTGACAAATTATTTTTCTTCACAAATATTAAAACAGATGGATTTGAGTCTTATGACAAGGTGCTGTTGAAATAAACGAATATACCCCCTCAAAGCCAAAAATGGAAATTGTTTTTGTCTTCCTTATCTCTAAGAAGACTAGGGTTCCCTGACCTATCCCTACAAGGGATAGACGACAAGTACCTCTGCAATACAGAATTTGCACATTCTCTTGGTAGTCACCTAGTAGGGTGAAATGGCATAAGATTGGAATAACAGGTAATGTTGTCAAAGAAGAGGAGTCCCGGCCAACACTGGCAAAAATAAATAAGAATAAGCTTAAAAATAAATAGTAATAATTAAGTATTATAATCCATTGTATGGGCCTTGTGATCTCTGAATAGGAATTCTCTTAACAATCTCTTATCCTGCAACAACAGCCTGAT